AGGAAGAAATTACTCAAAGGATATGATTTACAGAACACAGTCCATTCCCTTCCATAAAGATGTTCAGTACTTCAAGCTCAGTGCCACCTTTCCTAAAATATCTTATTCACAGATACATTTTAAAGATTTTAATTGTAGAGACACCATTTATGGTAGCCAATTCACAATCTCTATGTTCTAAAACCTATACTTGTCCTGGGGGCTCTGGCAACCATATTACCGTATTTGTGACATGATTCTTCATGGCTCTCAACACCTCCAACCAAGATTCATAGGTCCCCTGAGTCAAGGTGAGACAGTCTTATTTGTCTCCTAAGCCTCCAACTGAAGGGTAAGGAGGCCATAACTGGCAGCCATCTTGAGCCATGCACATGGAATCAGAACAAAAGCTACATTGGAAGGAGAGAGAAGAAACAAAAAGCACAAGCAGAGAAGCAACACCCAAAGAATTAATGTACCCGTTGGCCATGATATGAAGGACCATTTCATGGTCCCAGTCTTCCGAAAACCTTGACTGCATTCCCTGTAGTTGCGTCCTACGAGAGACCTGGATGTTCCCAGCACATCATTCCACTTTTGCTTAAAGAAGCTTCCAATTAGGATAAGCTACACTAAGTAATGGATATTCCTGACATTACATGAGAAGGGTAGGCCAAATTTATTACTGCAAGACAGCAGGGGAATAAACCCACTGCCCTGTAACACCTTTTCTTTTAATCATGAACTTTTTTGCAATTTCATCACTTCTCTGGATTGCTTCTACAGAAGGCCTGTCTTTCTGGTCACAATGCAGCCTCACAACACCATGGTCAGAGCCACTCTGGTAAGTGTCTTCACAACACACCTTGTTAATGCTTTTCCTAAAAATAGCAATAGGAGCATACTAGCATAGCATTTCATTTTCTTGTCAAATGTACTCCATTAATCCATTTCAATGTTTTTTTCCCCCTTTCTTTCTTGATTGTATGCAAATCTTCTGACTTAATCTATCTTGAACTACAGAAACCTGTAGTTCAAAGAGACATGGCTACTCAAGAGGCTAAAATCCACCAGGCCCTGGTGGCTCAAGCCTGTAATCCTAGATACTCAGGAAGCTGAGATCTGAGGATGGTGGTTCAAAGGCAGACTGGGCAGTAAAGTCCATGAGACTCTTATCTCTAGCTAACCACCAGAAAACCGGAAGTGGCACTGTGCCTCAAGTGGTAGAGTGCTAGGCTTGAGTGGAAGAGCTTAGGGACAGTGCCCAGGCCAGAGTTCAAGCCCCAGGACCAAAAAAAAAATTAAAAAATTTAAAAAAAAGCTAAGATCTGAAGACATTGGTCCAAAGTCAGCCCAGGAAGATAAATCTGAAAGACTCCCATCTCCAATTAACCACCAAAAAGCCAGAAGTGGAGGTATGGCTCAAATGGTAGAGTATCAGCCTTGAGTGAAAATGTCAAGTGACAGTGCGTGCAAGACCCTGAGTTCAAGCCCCCATACCGGCAGAGAGACATTTTTTTTTTTAATAGATGGGATTGGAAGCTTGTTCTCAGTTGTGCTCCTACCTTTGCACAGAACCCTAGCATGAACACTCCACAGGCGCCCGCTGAGCACATGAAAAGAAGACAAGTAGGAAATCATAAAGGTCAAGAACATAGACTCTGGAGTCAGAGATGTGGGTTAGAATCTCATCTCCATTTAAAGCCTTTAATAATGATACATGCTTAGAATTCTAAGAACTTTACGTATATTATACTTAACATTCCCTTCCTTCAAAAGCATTTGTTTTTCTCATTTTACACTAGATGAAACCTAAGAAATTTAACTAACAGGCCATAAAGTTTGGTAACTCCTACCCTAAGCTGCTAAACCCTTTTATAAACCCTTCTTGAGACTTTAGGTCAATTATTTAAGCACTCTATTTGTTTTAAGTCCTGGCTCTGTTGATTAAATAAGATAGTATTTGTACAGTGTTTAATACTGTGCCAGACAGAGCAAGCTGCTCAATAAAATGTATTTATTATTATTAGAGTTAACTGGTAAGTCTACAAGGAACTGCTTCAAGCAATGGGGACATTTAGTTCTATAAATTACACGTTCTCTGGAAAATGGCCATTTACAAGATCCGGACAGCCAAAGAAAAAGAAACAAGTTATAACCAGTATTTATCTTGGATGAGTTCTAAAATCTCCAAAAGGGAGTAACAGATAAGAAATCCTTTGCAAGTCTAAAAGCAATGCTCATGCTTGAGGTTAGGGGGCGCCATACTGCTGTACATTATAGGGAACTACTTACCCAAAGGGTCTTCACCCTGGATATATTTCTTTAAAATGTTATGTTATTATAAAGGTGATGTACAGAGAAGTACCAGTTATATAAGTCAGGTAAAAAGCACATTTGTTTTTGGAAAATGTCACTCCTTCCCTCGCACTCTCTCCCAATTTCACCCTGGATTTCTCACCAACGAAGTTGACAAGTATCAGCTTTTTTGGCAAGAAATGGAACCATCTAGTATATCTTTATAGACTCTTCCACACCAAATGCTTTGGCTATTGCTTCAATGAGATAAAAAGCATTATTACATTTCACCATTACTGTTCTAAGTTCAGCTCTCCCAAAAATTAATTAGGGCATATGAATTACTAAGTGTAACTCCAAGACTATAAAGTACCTAAAGTGGGAGTGGGAGGGAACCTAAACTTAATCTATATACAGCAATTAGCCTCTCTACATTTGTATGTGTTTAGAAAATTAGCCTCTCAACATTAGTATATGTTTTGAAATTTCCTTAATAAAGTATAAATTCTCTTTGAAAATTTTAATTTCTACCCAAAACTTGCAGGAAACTAGGTCCCTCTATGCCCTTACCCTGGGATGGATACAGAAAAGCTCTTACACAGAAAAGGACTCAACTAAAAGATAAAAGCAAGTAAAGAACTCGGTTAAATTAAGGTAAAAGTGAAATACATCATATAGAACTGGAATATGTTTCCAACAACGTTTTAATAATGAACTTTAAGTTAGAGACTCAAGTCCACAGACACCCTCATACAAGCAAACTAAACTTGAAAAAGAAATGTTTTCGACTCTACTATTTTCTTTCCCTCAAGCTTGGATTACTTTTGGTTCTCATTAGCCAGGGAATGTTCCAATCTAGAGGTGATCTTTCTAAAGGGCAGGGCAGAATAGCTTTGTGCCAAAACAGCCAAAGAAAAAGCTGAAATCTGGATATGAGATGTCTCTTCAGGCAACAAAAGGAATGATTTGCTTTTCAATTCAGTCACCTTGTGACAAGTTTAAATGAGAAGTTGTTTATTCCATCTAGAAGACAGTGTTTAGACAATTAGACACATCTAATTGTTCTCCTTGCCGCAACTTACATGGTGCTTTTTATTCCATCTGAATGAAATTCTAGCCTGAAACCCTACTCTCATCTATTAAGTCAACGCAAAAAAAAATTTAATTTTCAACTATGTTAGTGACTTCATTCTACCAATTAATTCTGACTCCCCTCCAAGCGAAATTCATTCCTAGAATGCTGGGAGGCCAAGGGTAGTAGGTGGGGTGGAATTCCTAACATCTGAGTTAAAAGAACCTTTAAGTGATAAGAAGCCATTGGCTTATCCAAGTTGAACTTACAAGAAAGAGCCCAGCAATGCAGAAGCTAACTTTCCCCTCCCCCATATCTACCCCAATCCCCAGCCCAGGAAACAAGACAGGTCCTTAAGTGCAAAAACAACTTGACCAAAAAGATGTGACAAGTGTGGTGGCACTTCAGGAGGATCAAGTTCAAGGCCAGCCTGGGCTACATAGTAAGACCTCGTCTCAAAAAAAAAAAAAAAAAGTTTACAAAGTTCTCTTCGTATCAGGCCCCTACTGCACTCATCCTCTGCAGCCCCTTCACCCATTTTCAGCCTTAACCTTCTCCTCACTAACGGGATAAACAAAACAACAATCGCTTATTCCAAGACCAATCATACACTGGGGAATATTACAGTTATCAAAGAATGCTACCAAGATGAGGGTTCACCCTCCCTCACGCGGTGCCACACTCTGCTGCGGTTTCAAAAGGTTTTTCCAAGTTTGAGATCAGACCACAAAACAAAAGCAAATCACTCAGACTTGCCACAGGATGGACTCCCGGCTGGACTAACGTGTGAAGTGGATGAAAGAAAAGCAAGTAACAAGACCACTCCAAAGTAATGTACTTGCACCCACATGATGGCATCTACCTGCTCCCATATTTCTGTTAATCTACCTGTAAATGTTTCCAAAATAAACATCTCAGTCTCTTTCAGCCATGTGGACAAAACCCCAAGTGTCTACACAGAGGTACTAATGTACTTCTCTGATGATTCTTATCTGCTTGTTTGTGTGGCCGTCACTAACGACGGGCAGTTAGGAAAAGAAGGTGGTAATGGTGGTGAGAATTTTCAATCAGGCAGATCAATGTCCTGGGTCCTATAGGTCAAACAAGGGCAGCACTCAGGAATGAAGAGAGTTTTACCTTTGTTCACAGATGAAATCCTCCCTTCCCACCCTTGTCAAAACCCACAAACCAATTTCCACAATGCAAAAATCACCACTGCCTCCAGAATTCAAGAGCATTTCTAGGAATCCGTAAACGAAAGGCAAGTTTCGGTGTATTTTACATAGCCACTGAAGATCATAGCTACATTGAGGTACATCTCGAAGTGTCTAATATCCTGTTCCTCCTTCGGTTACTTGAGAAATCCCATGTCTTAAAATCAAACTAAAGGCCACTTTCGTCCAGGGCGATCGTTTCAAAGGCAACAGACAACCCATCTTGAGCCCCCTTCTGAGAGGAGTTGGCACGGGAGGCGGTGGGGTTATAGGGCAAGAGACACACCAGGTTGCTTTCTTGGTTAAAAGGCAAAGTTCACAGCCCGGCGAAGGTGACGTGCACCGGCCTCGAGGCTCCGGGTTGCCCCCACCCCGCCCCAGCCGCGGCTGCACGCACCCGGCCCCCCCCCCCCCGCGCGCGCGCGCGCCGGTCCTACCTTGGATCTCTCCTTCACGTAGTATTTGCCCAGCCGGCTCCCGCAGTACAGGACCAGCCTGTCGATGAGGGACAGGAGGAAGTTGATAGCCTCGCAGCCCTCCTCGTTGCCCCCGATCCACGTGATCTGGTCACCCCGCAGGTGCCGCTTGGAGACCCCGGCGCGCGGCCCCGCCAGCTGGCCGTCCCGCAGGACCCCGTTGTAGTGCAGCTGCTTGACCCGCTCCAGGACGCAGTCGCCCACCACTTCGCCCAGGAAGTTGTCCAGGTAGCAGAAGCCCACCTCGTGCAGGCAAGGCACGATGTACTCCAGGGCGATCTTCTCCAGATCCAGCCTCATGATGTGTCCCAGAGGCATCTCGCCCGCCGAGCCGAGATCCGGGACCCCAGGGTGCACCCCGAGAGAGGGAACCACCTCCGGGAGCCTGACACCGAGGTGCAGGGGGGGGGGGGGTGGCCGGGGCTCAGCAACCTGCGGCGGCCACGATCCCGGAGCCACCCGCGTCGCGCCAGGGAGGGGAGAAAGTTGTTGGTAACTCTGGGCACCAGGGATCCCCGTCCAGGGCCCCGCGGGAGGTGCACGAGACTCCACCAACCCAGCGCTGGACTGGCCCAGCCGGGAGTCCCAGGGCCCCTAAAGGAGTTGCGGAGCAACCTCCGCTGCCGCCGCGGCCCGGGGGCGGGGAGAGGCGGAGGCCAGGCCCCTAAAGCGAGGACCGCGCGCGTCACGAGCCCCGCCCACCGCACGCCCTGACCCCGCCCACCTCAGCCCCGCCCACCCCTGCCCCACCCCCCCTGGCAGCCCTTCCCCTCCTCCGCCCGTCCGAGTTAGAGCTCACCAGCCCCAAGCGGACCTCAGTTTCAACCGAGGAAGGGAAGCCGAGAGGAGTCTTTTGAAGGCTCTCGATTTGCGTGCTGTTTCCCCACAACAAACTTGAAAAGCTGGATCCGCCATCTGGAAATGTAAATGAAATAAACTGCTTACTTTAGCTGCCCTATTCACGTCTAGGGAGCCAACGCGTGTGTTAAGCCATAATCTCGTTTCTAGCTGTCCCTGGTGCCTTTGCTTGTTTCCTTTTCCTTTGCTTGTCTGCCCACCAGCTCCCCCCTCCCCCCCCACCTCCTCCCTACCCCGGCTCAGGAGGGTCAAGCAACTAACAATAGAGGGCTGTGGATTTTTCGGTTGTAACTGAGATGAACACATTAATGAATGTTTGCCTGAGCCCCTACTATGTGCAAGGTCCTGTGTGCTTCCATAGGGAGTGGGGGAGGAGTGTGTACAGGAAGGAAATGCTGGGTCATATCTGCTGAACGGCTCAAATAGTGTATTTCACCCAATCACCAGTCAAGCTTCTTACTGCAGCATGATGCTGTGAAATTCTACCTTCTAATTTAATCACATGCACCTGTAACAATAGACCTTAGTATGCACCCTAAAACATACACTGGATTCTAGGTCTCTCTTGACTTCTTTCACAAGCAACTGAATCTCACAGGAAGGTGGGACATCGCCTAGAAGACTTTTTAACTATCCACAGATAAATTGATTTTTAACTCCTTTATCACCAGAGATTAAAATCAGGATTTTTAAATTTTTATTTTAAAGATGGCATACAGGGGCTGGGAAGGTGGCTCAGTGGTAGAGCGCTTGCCTTGCATGCCTGAGGCCCTGGGTTCGATTCCTCAGCACCACATAAGCAAAAAGAAAAAAGCCGGAAGTGACGCTATGGCTCAAGAGGTAGAGTGCTAGCCTTGAGCTGAAGAGCTGAGGGACAGTGCCCAGGCCCAGAGTTCAGGCCTCACGACCGGACCCAAAAAATAAATAAATAAGTAAAGATGGTGTACAGAGATGTTACAGTTACATGAGTAATGAGTACATTCCTTGTGGAGCATTGTTACCCCTACTTTGTTGTTCTCCCACTCAGAATCAGCATTTTTAAAAAGCATAAATTACCTGCAAAGCGATTTCCATTTTGTACAGAATCTCCTAAACTTTTTCACTTTTTTTTTTTTTTTACAGTATTGTTTGAACTCAGGGTCTTGTACTTTCTTGGTGCTCTACCACCACTGAATTGATACCTCCAGCCTGGCTCTTTGCTGGTTATTTTGGAGATGGAGTCTCTCAGACATTTCTGCCTGGGCTGTCTTGGAACCTCAATTCTTCTGATCTCATTTATTCCGCTAGGATTACAAGCATGAGCCACCTGCACACAACCCGGCATTTAAACTTCTTTTTTCCTCCAAATAGCCCACTTCTGTGCCTCTGAGGGAAGTTCAGGCCAAGAGCCAAGGAAGCAGTTGCTTCTATGATAGAAGCAAAGGCTCCTGGTCAAGTAAGGACCTACAAGATGTTCTGGAGGGAAGTGGAGGAGGGGCTAAGCAACTTTGGTGGGAAAAGGGGATCAGCCCAGTCAGTGCTAAGTGCATGCCTTTGGAATAACCATCCAGCAGGAGGTGCTGCCCCCTGGGGTAAAGACTCCACTTGGCCAGCACACAGGAGCTGCCATTGAAATCCCACAACAGCTGCATGATGGCAGAAGCCAATCATCATCCTCAGACCTCGGTTGCTTAGTAGCTGCCTAGTGAAGACTATCAGACAACTGGTGTCTGACCCTGAGCCATGCATCATATACATGGGATTCTGGACCAGAGTCCTGCAGGAGAGTTTTACTTGCAAAAGAGACTGAGGCACCTCCTGAGAATGTGCTGAGAGAGTATCAAGCTGTTAGTCTAGTCCAGAAGAAAACTTCAAAGGCCAGTGGAGGGGGCAGTCAGAAGTTCCCCAGAGCATTTATCTCTTGACTTTGTCTCCCCTGTGGGCTGTGGTGGATGGTCCTGTCCTGGGAGTGGGAAACCCCAAGTGAAATCTGTTTTCCCTACTGCTGCTTGAACCCAGTATGGCCAGGTGCCACAGGGATCCTGCCAAGGTCTCCTCCATCTTCCATGGATAACAGGTAACCAGAGAAGCCTGGTATAAACCTTGAGGAGCTTGCTAAAGATTTTCTAGCTTTAAGTTCTTTGTAGATGCAACTGAAACTCCTACAAATGATTCAGAGGGAATTTGGAAGGACTGGTAACCTACAATAGCTGGTAGATAAGGTGTGGCCAATAAAGCACAAAATACGATATATCCACTTCCTAAAATGAACACGTTCACCCAGGACTTTAAATCCCAGGGCTAGAACAGGGTGTAGGTGCTCATGCCTGTAATACCAGTTATGGAGGAGGCTGAGATGTGAAGCTCAAGATGTCAAGCCAGCTTGGGCAGACAAATCTAAGGCACTCTTATCTCCAATTAACCAGCAAAAAGGCTAGAAGTGGAGGTATAATTCAAGGGATAGATCATCAGCCTTGAGCAGAAAAAAAGCCCAGCAAGAATATGAAGCCTTGAGTTCAAGCCCCATACTGGCACAATAAACAAACAAATCCCAAGGTTGAATAATTTAATATTCCAAAAATATTTCAATTATTTCAGAGTAAAATTACAACTAGTTGTAAGTAGAACAGTCATGGGAGCAAGTTCTTCTGTTTGATAGCCTTAAGCTAGTCTAGATGACTTTGGTTGCAAAGCATGGGCAGTTTAGGGAGGAGTTCAATCCAGAGGCACGATCCCAGCTAGGCAGGACACTTAGCAATCAATCAAGGACCTCCCAATCAGCTTGGGCTGCCAGCACTGCACTTGGCAGAGGATGGAGAGATACTGTGACTGGCAAACATCAGTGTGTGCTTAAACAGGGGGGCATAGACAGGCTGGAGCCAGGCATGGACTCTGAAACAGAGCAACAGAGACAAAACCCAAGCTCATTGTGAAAGTACATGTACATTAGTTATTTGTCCATCAATCTGTGTCCTTGTAATAAGGAATATTATTAGAGTCTCCAACTTTTGGCCTAGAGCCAGCCTTGGACTGAGACCCTCCAACTTTCTCATACCTTCTGCATAGCTGGGATTATAGATGCACACCACTGTGCCAAGTTTCTTTGAGATGGGATTTTGCCAACTTTTTTTTTTTTGGGGGGGGGCAGGTCTGGGCTGGTCTCCAACCATGATACTTCTATCTTTGCTTTCTAAGTAGCTGGTATTATAGACATAAGCCCCTGTGCTCAGCTTGTTTGCTTATTTTTACAAAGGCTGTTCCATTCACTAGAACTTTTACCTTCTAGTGCTTTTTTAAGAAAAAAAAAACCCACCTTATGTCACAACAGTTATAGAATTACAGGAAAACTGGGAAGATTTATACAAAGTTCCTGTCTACCCTACAACCAGCCAGGGCCCCTGTGGTATAGTAGATTTGTCATAATTTAAGGGCTAATCTCGATACACGATTCTTAATGAGTCCTTTATCCAGATTTTTTTCATTTTTATATAATGATTCCCTCCCCCCCCCCCCCCACACACACACCCCTTAGGATCCTGTTGATGTTGTGCAGAGTTTGAAATTAAATCCACAGAACTTTCCAGGGTGCTTGCCAAGTCATGTCATCTTCCCAGCCCTTCAGCTACTACAGAAACTGGCCCACAGAGCCCAAAGGAAGGAAGGAATGGAGAGCTAGGAACGAGCCTTCTTCCTTCCCGTTTGTTCATTAGAGTAAAAGGAGAAGATTTACACTAGCTGAAGAGAAAACAGTATTGTCCACTCATTTTAGTAGCTGAGGGCTGGAGGACCACTGGGATGACCTGTCTGTACAGCCAGTCTCTGGGTCCAGCTAGCTGATGTTACCTTCCAGCTGATATCACTGGATAGCTGATATCACCCCCTACCCCCAAATCTCTGCTATTCTCCTATTTACCTCCTCCCTCTCTCCAGAGAAAGAGTCTGCCTAATTAATGTAAGGTGGGGAAGGGGGGGGTGTCTCTAACTAGATTGTCCTTGGCAATCAGCTAGCATGCAAGATTGTTAACACAGATTGCTGAGCCTTGCCCCAGAGTTTCTGACTCAGTAGGTCTTGGGTGGGGCCTCTAATTTGCATTCCTGACCAGTTCCCAAGAGTTCTGCTTCTGCTGGTCTAGACCTACTCTAGGGACTACTTGGCTCTAACCAGATCGGCCCACGCAGGTAAGTGGGCAAGGGAGCAGATGGCCTACACCAGCTGAAGCTAGAGCCTTAGAACGTTGGATGGATGTTAGAGGGACTTGAGAGTTTCTAAAACTGCACCCAGATTAATAAGTTAAGATTTCTGGAGCTAAAGCTGGTCAGTTTAAAAAATATATATATATATATAATAAGTTATCTGCATAAATAAAAGTATAACACCTAATTAATAGTCATTTTTTCAATTAATAGTTATTTATGCAATGGTAATGAGAATCGCTGGCCTGCTTTGGACACAAGGTAATTTATATTGGAAAACGTCTCATTCCTGCTCAATACAAAGAAAGAAAACTCAGTCCCATGGCTTCCAGCATCCATCTTGTCACTGTGAAGATAGACAGTCACCAGATGAAGGCAACATGAAAAAAGGCAAAGCAAAATGCTGAGAGAATTTGGAGCAAGGTGCTGGTAGCTCACACCTGTAGTCCTAGCTACTCAAGAGGCTGAGATCTGAGGAATCTGTTTCAAAGCCAGCCCAGGCAGACAAACCTTTGAAATTCTTCTCTCCAATTAGCAGCAAAAAGCCACAATTGGAGCTGTGACTCAAGAGGTACAGCACCAGCCTTAAGCAGAGC